GCAGTCGGGCGTTTCACCGAAAGCTTGTCCGAGGGATCGCTCCAACTCACTATGTCTCGTTAGCACTGTTACGACTGTTAAAATAAGCCAGGTGACTTACTGAAAATAGCAATCGGCAAAATAAGGAGCAGGTCAATAAAAAGATACTACGCGAATCGATTAGCCTTTCAAAGTCATTATGTGGTAAATATCCTTGACATACCTGAAAGTCTCCCAGATTGGATCCGGACTTGTATAGAATGCTAACACTGGTAAACTGAATAGCGGAGTATAAAGACATATACTTGAAGCAACTGAAGCTAGTAACGAGCGAAGCCCGACCCTCTCTATTCAAACAGTTAGTATCCATACTTAAATGACTGTTAAAAACATGGCAAGAACATACCTGATAACTTGTGGAACGCAGGAAATCTCAAACACACGGCTTGTAAAAGGCGCAGCGACAGATGCTTCAGCCTCCGATAGCGAAATACCAACATCCGCAGCTTTCAAGGCACCACAATCGTTGGCGCCATCACCGCAGAAGCAAACAGTATAATCCAAGCTCTGTAGCTTTTCCACCAGTTCATGCTTTTCATCGGGGGACATTCGAGCGAAAACCTGGCCGATTACCAACATGCGGTGCATAACCTCTCTTGGAGCAAAGTCGATCATCCATTTGAAAACTTCGCCGCTGACGGCAAGGGAGTAGTTCCTCATGTTGTTAATATCGTAAGGGAGAGAAAGGTCACCTTCCGGTGGGGCAGGGAGCGGTAGTAATGTGTTCTCGTCAAGTTTGTAGATCTTGTTATCTACGCTCTCCCATTGAATCTTGGCCGTCGAAGACTGAGAGTCTCCCTCTACAAAATGAGGAACGAACACATGAGCCGACTTATCAATCAGGTGGCACTCCCTGGCAACACTAATAGCGGTGAGAATGTTGTCTCCCGTACACATCACACGTCGGAGATTCGCTTGCTTCAGTTCTCTCATGACACCTGCAGTGCTTGGCTTCAGCTTGTTTTCGAAGATAATGAAACCGCAAAAGTTAAGGTCCTTTTCAGCCTCGTCACGCTTCATCTTTTGAGCCTTGACCCAAGACAGCTTTTTGATGTTTTTCGCGGCACAAGCGATAACACGGAATCCACGGTGTGTATAGTAGGCCAACAAATCGTCGTAATCCTCAGGAACTAGAAACTAAAATTAGTGGGACATCGATACGGTGGGGTTGAGTAGCGACATACAGCTCTCACGGTTGCAAATCTCAGCCATGCACTCGGGGGCACCCTTGACGTAAATATCACACCCAGTTTCACCGAATTGCTTGACAATGACACTAGCCCTTCGGAGTTGAGACACAAACTCGAAAGATTTGAAAACTCCAAGTTCTAGTGGAATCTCGCCGTTTTCGGTATCACCGTATTTCTTGCCAGCGGGCGGTCGAACAACTGGAGGCGATATCGCATTGGGTTGAGCACTCAATACTTCCTCGCTGTTACCTCTGATTTGAGACCCAGTTTCTTCGTATGACCATTCGGTAAATCCAAACATCTTTTGGTCTAGAGGGTCACCGATAAGCTCGCCGTCAACCATCCGAAGTGAATGACAAGTAGCCATAGTATGTAGGATCGCCTTGTTCGTCGAAAAGTCAACAGACGGGTCTCGTTCGAAGGTGTTCGGTGGCAAAAGGGTCAACGAGTCGGTGTACAGATCAGAGAACTTCTTAGCGCTCGGTTGAACAGCCCGCACCCCGAGAACATCAAGTCCATCTTCAGTCAATGTACCGGTTTTGTCAAAGCAGATAACGTCCAACTTTCCGGCGACATTGACTCTCATCGGGCTGATGCAGAAAATCTGTTTCTTTTTCAACCTCGCAAGGGCGAAGTTTGTACCAATTGTCAACGTTGCCGGAAGGGCGGGTGGGACAACAATTGTGATCAAGTCCAAGGCTCTAACGATAATCAAATGAACAGCAAGCTATTTTCATGTTAGCAACTACAACATCATAATATATTCCGGCGCGGTATCACATACCCCAAGTTCTATAAATCTGATCAAGGTGGCGATAAATCCAAGCAGGGCAATCACAGCCATGACACTAATGTAATAAAAGCTGTCGCGATAGAACTTGAAACCGGTGGGCTTCGGGAACAGCATACTTCGGACCAATGCGCCTTTGGTAGTATTGAACCCAGTACGAACAACGAGCGCCAATGCGGCGGCCTCTTCATCTTGGCCATCTTGCGGTTTGCGGGCTCTGATGATTTTCGTGCCACAAAAGAGGAAGTACTTAGAGAGCGCTGGCTTCACTGACGATGCACCAAGGTCCAGCTCTTGAAGGGCTTCGTCAGTGCAGGGAACCTTCGATACCGGAACGGATTCTCCTGTAAGCATGCTTTCATTGACAATGCAGTCGCCTGAGAGCAGCAAACTATCGCAAGGGAAGAGCGTCAAATAAGGGTCCGTAACCTCGTAGACGTCCCCGGGAACCAAATCCGCTGAAGAAACATATTCCCAATAGCCATTGCGCATTACTCTCACATCGCAAACAAATTTCGAAATTTCACGAAGCCGCTTCATAGTTGACTTCGTCTCAATGAGTGTGCTAGTGATACTGACGATTGATATCAGGAAAATGCAGGAGGCATAGTAATAATACTCGTCCATGGACCACAGTATAATACTGGCGATTTGGAAAACGTAAAACGGATGGAAGACTTCGTCCAAGAAAAGATTCATGGTGCTTTTCTCCTCGATATCAATTAGGTTTGGTCCGAAGACTGTCGCACGTTGATCCTGAGTGTCGCTGTCGACGCCCTGGCGCGCGGACAATACGCTGTCCCATTCTGGGTCTTTCCAATTGTTCGTAAGCATGAACTTGTCCTCGACCGGGTTGTAACAAAAGCGGATGTATCGGTAATCGAGGTATCGCAGGTGGTTAATGAGAGGGTCGTCGTCTTCTTCTGCCGCTTCAGCTGCTGCAACTGCCTTTTCGGACGGGGGGCCGAATACAGTAGATAGAGTCATTCCATACGATCTTTTCTTAATAGGATGTATGCTGAACTCGTTCCACTCGTTCTAATCGAGGAGTTAGTCAAACATACGACACTGCTTCAAGCTCATACCAAGCTACTGACCTCAATTACGACCCATTCACAATCTCTCAGCGGACACGGCTTTCCTATCAGCCGGACTCTCCAGCGAGGCATCCAGCGCAGTAACAAGTAAAATAAGCCTAGCGTAAGGACCGACAATACAGTCACAATGGCCGAACCCATTTTACTCGTCCTAAATCCTCCAACAATGATTGTCAAGTCCTCCGTAACGATATATATCTTTTGATTTGACCGCAATGGACCCCTTATGAATATGCGACTCGTATCTGTAGCATTGGTATCCTGGCGGTCGAGCAACGGGAGTTCTTGGTCGTCTCTCGAATTACGGGGCGAACGAGCAAGAGACTGCCGCCGAGAACCAGACTCCAGGTCCATATCGATATCCCCTTCCCAGGCATTAAATTGAAATTCATCATCGTCATCGTCTATAATCGCTTCCTCGTTGTCCCAATTATCAACCTCGTCTTGTTGGAAAAATGTAAAACTAGCTTCGGATTCGGTACGGGATCTCCTTCGATGCACAAACGCCGAAACACTGGATGGAACACTTTCTGGGATCGGGCCGCTAAAGACATCTTCGTGCGACATCTCAACACCATCGGCATGGGAGTAGAAGCTTGCATCGGAGACATTAGATTCCGCACGTGGCCGGGGGGCGGGCCGGGGCGATGGCGACGGCGACGAGGACGCCATTGTGGGTCGCGTAGCGGGACGCTTCACATACAGTACAGAGGGTGTCGGCGGCTGAAAGTGTCGCCCTAGTTGAAGCAGATGCTGGGCTATGTGACGATGAAGAAGAAGAGAAAGAGACGGCTGGGAAGGGTTTTATTAGGCATCGTTATGTGGCCGCATGCTAAAACTTAGAAACAGGAAACTCGAAGGACGCAAGTGCACCGAAGTGCATCATCGCCAAGCAAAGTTTCAGCCCGCCGCATTTCTAGCCGCTGGAACAAGCCCACAAGCGGCGGCCGCCCGCTTCGCCTGTCAAAATCCAACGCCCAACGCGCATTTCTTTATTTTACGAATTATACAGATATACACTTACACTTGCAGCCATCGAGGCATATCATCCTACTCGTGCTGTGGTTGTAGATATAAATACAGAGCGGCTGGAGGGAGTCCGATAGCAGTCTATCGCTAGCTACTGTAAGCAGCTTAAGTTTAACCATTTGCGGGCCCCTGGCTAGCCATTTCACTCTACTGGAAACACCACAGCTAGGAGTCATAGCGCTGGGATGCTACAATTATACAGGGCCAGCCAATTGACATTTGAGTCAGCGTCCCACAGCTGTATTTCTGTAATATATAAGCTGGACCTTGCAAAATCTTATCGGCGACACTATCTCGAAACGAGACCTTATTGCTTGGAACCGGGTGCCAGTTATCACATATGCTTATCTGATAAGCCGATACTTGATATCCACAGCATAGATATAAGCGCGGAACAGAACTCCTGTAACCTGATAGACCCTCCAGCACATAACCTTCAATTGGACACGCCAGAAATGGCGTTGTAAAGGACTATAACATTGGCTATTGAGTCCGATAAGCTGGAGTTATAAAGGCTTCCACAGTCTCAACTGCAAGCCGTGTTGTCTATTACATATAATAGTAGTGTAACCAACAGGACAACACAAAAAACTCTTTAATTCGAAGTTTATCAACATCTTGGAATTGCAGATAACAAAAGGAGAGCATGTGGCAAACCTTGAAGCTCAGGGCGGTAGTGAAGATGCTATATCAGCGATAGTTACCCTGCGTACGTGCAACCCCGAGCACGCACTCAGGAATATCTAGGATATCACGCTCTCAAGGCAACAAAGAAAGCAAAAAGAACTAGATGCCGAGAAGGGCAGTTAGTCTGTAGACACTACCGGGATCGAGCAAAAAAAGTCCAAAAATGAATGCCTTCTAGCAGGATCGAACTGCTGACCTTCAGATTTCTGCCTGTTTAAGGCCTTCATACCAAAGATATGAGACTGACGTGATAACCAACTACACCAAGAGGGCTTTGAGATGTCGGTCAGCGTTCCCAAAATGCTATAAAAGTGTTTTTGCTTATTTGCCGCCTAATCATGGCCAATGATTGGCTGTTCCATACAGCTTTTAGGACAGCTTGATGGTAGGGTTACATGTGTATATCGTACAATTTCATATGGGGATATGGGCCAATGCGACTGGTTTCAAGACGATAGCAAGTAGTAAGTCTAAGATATCACCTTCAACCAATAAGTAAAGAAATGGAATTTAACATTTCCACAAGTCTACATACTTATATAATTTGTTCCCAATATGGATGTGCTGGTATCCCAGCCTTCAGTTTGTAGGCGTAGGGCCTGGAAACTAGGGCTTTCCTACCTCCTTCAAAGTGGCAGCGGGCAAGCTGGTAGTCGAATTGTAGCAGGGCTGGGCGTTATATCGATATCAATACATCGTTTCTCGCTAGGGTCTCCAAAGTATGAACGGCAAGCACTACAGAGTGCCACTCGCTTTGATCCTACAGCGAGTCAAGCAGCCTAAGTAAAGCAATCAAGTCAGTGAACGCTGGCTTATCTCATCTACCAGCCTATGGCTCTGTGCCCTGCCGCCAGATGGGTTGTAGGTCAAGCACTGACTCTTGAGACCCCGTTATGATCCACAACGCGGAAGTTCTCAGATGTTCGCCACAACGTCACCCTAAGAGCCAGTCTCGCCCCCGCAAGAGCTAAAGATTTCCAGGACCCTCGTTCGAGGGCTCTCTAGATGATGGCGAGTTGCTCTAGAGAACTTCCTCAGGTTCTAGAGCCTATATATCCAAAGCCACTCCATCTCGTCTTGCCTCTCGCCACCTCCTTACCATCATACTACATCAATCCCTCATTTCTTCCTTACTATAACTCTTTTGATATTCGATCGCAAACCCTCCCCTAAATCAGTCCACCTGGCTGTCTCCTGTCTCCGGTTGGACGCTGAACCCGTTGCATACCTTTGGCGACGAAGTCTCTCTTTTGGGTTTAAGGTAAGTGGTTGGTCTGTATCTCAGTCTTTGTGGCCAAGCTTACTCTTCTCCAAGGTCCGACTTTCTACAATCGAGAGAATTCTCTCCGTTGAAGGTGTTGGTATTGGGATATCAGAATATCATTCAAGCAATGTTCGAAAGCACTGTTGCCCATATTGTCGTTCGCCCAGATGGGACCCGTATGAAGAGGGTTTCGTTAGAGAAGTCGCAGGATTCGCCGAAGGGTATACATCGATTTTCCTATCCCATGTCAGGCGAAAGGTAGCTAACCAAGCCAATAGCCTTACGCAATAAAAAGCAAAGGATTATACGACCTAGCCTGAATCTTAAAGAGAAGATGATGATACAGAATGGAAAGAAGCGGAAGATTTGGGTTTTAAGTGTAAAACCGAAACATGGGAAGAGGAGAAGAAAACCTTTGCTCGATGCTGAGCCTCATCCAACAAAACAATTGATGAGAAAAAAGAGAGTTGTTACCGACCGACACCTTGGGGATTGTACCCAAGACCTCTGCAAAGCCACAAAGTTGCTGAACATCCTACGAGGCCACAAGACGAAGACCTCATAGCTCCTATTTCGAATTCTACAGACACTTTCCAAAGGTAAACAATTGTTCTTTGATACAGAGTCAGCCAAAGCTTTCTAGTCAGAGCTAACTCTTCATACGAAATCTCTCGAAATAGCACCGGAATTTCCAGGGCATTCTATTTTGACGGCCATCTCATGCAAACCCTTTTTTTTGATTCATGATAGATAACACTACAGGCTTGTTAATAAGTCTGCACAAATTTCCATTATTCTCCTTAGTCTAGTAGAACTACTCTCCCAAAAATGTTTGTCCATTTCTTTTTTGCGTTGACTCTGTTGTCGATTTCCCCCCGGAGGTTATGCCCAGGTGCCCCGGGGCCAAACCGAGCTGTCCCAGTCATTTCTTAATTTTTTGGTCCCACAAGTCTGTTCTCCAATCACCATCCATCGATATCACAGCATCCCCAGTTCAACATATCGCAGACCTATAGATATCGCAAAGCTCTACTGAACAAACAGAATATAGTCACCGCTTTAACGACTATCGCTTGCCCCGCTCGCCACTATGGTCGCCCACCATACCGGCCTCAAGGCCAAAGAGAAGGGCCCCACTACGTCCGAATCTGAAAGATACGCCCAAGCATGCGCCGCAGTCGCCAACCACCTTATCCAGCTTCACGAAGAGTCCGGCGGGAAAGGAAAAGATGTCAATTTGAACTCTCTGCGGGGGACCATTGCGAAAAAGTTCAAGCTCACAAGAACACCCCCATTGACCGACATTATTGCAGCTGTTCCGGAGCATTATAAGAAATATATTGTGCCCAAGCTGGTGGCGAAGCCAGTTAGTATGTCAATAATCTTTATTCCTCTAGCTGGGAAAGGTACTAAGGATTTTCCCTCCAGGAACAAGTTCTGGTATCGCCGTTGTAGCTGTTATGTGCAAGCCGCACAGATGCCCCCACATCGCATTTGTACGTCGCATTTATCCTCAGGAAGCTTCCATATCTTTCTAATGACTTAGTAGACTGGAAACATTTGCGTTTACTGCCCCGGTGGCCCCGATTCCGACTTCGAATATAGCACACAATCCTATACTGGCTACGAGCCGACAAGCATGCGAGCGATCCGTGCCCGTTACGACCCCTTCGAACAAGCCCGTGGTCGAGTCGAGCAACTCCGACAACTCGGTCACAGTGTCGATAAAGTCGAATACATCATCATGGGCGGTACATTCATGTCCCTTCCGGAATCCTACCGGGACTGGTTCATCAGCAGTCTTCACAATGCCCTCTCCGGCCATACGACAGAAAACGTTGACGAAGCCGTCCAGTTCGCTGAACAGTCGCAGACGAAGTGTGTTGGAATCACTATCGAAACACGGCCTGACTACTGTCTTGATACTCATTTGTCATCTATGCTTCGGTACGGATGTACACGTCTCGAAATTGGTGTTCAGAGCTTGTACGAAGATGTGGCAAGGGATACAAACAGAGGGCATACGGTTAAAGCTGTATGCGAGACGTTCAAACTGGCGAAGGATGCAGGATACAAAGTCGTTTCCCACATGATGCCGGATCTACCAAACTGCGGCATGGAGCGAGATTTGGACCAATTCAGGGAATACTTCGAGAACCCAGAGTTTAGAACAGATGGCTTGAAAATCTACCCGACGTTGGTTATTCGAGGAACAGGGTTGTACGAACTTTGGCGGACGGGGAGATACAAGAACTACACACCGAACGCACTGATCGACCTGGTGGCCAGAATCATGGCCTTGGTGCCGCCATGGACTAGAATCTACCGTGTGCAGCGAGATATTCCCATGCCATTGGTAACGTCCGGTGTTGAAAACGGCAACTTGAGAGAACTGGCTCTGGCTAGAATGAAAGATTTCGGAACTACCTGCCGCGATGTTAGAACACGAGAAGTCGGTATTCAGGAAATCAAGCATAAGGTTCGACCAGACCAAGTCGAGTTGATCCGAAGAGATTACACTGCGAATGGGGGCTGGGAGACATTCTTGTCGTACGAAGATCCCAAGCAAGATATCCTCATTGGGCTGTTGAGATTGAGGAAGTGTTCCGATCGCACTTTCAGGCCGGAGCTTACTGGACAACCGACAAGTTTGGTGCGAGAGTTGCACGTTTACGGAAGTGCAGTGCCAGTTCATGGAAGGAACCCAAAGAAGTTTCAGCATCAAGGATTCGGAACGCTGTTGATGGAGGAAGCGGAGAGAATTGCGAGGGATGAACACGGAAGCGAGAAAATTAGCGTGTAAGTGCATTAGATCATTCTTTTGTGGGGATCAAAGCTAACAGTTCGATAGTATTAGCGGTGTGGGTGTGCGAAAGTACTACGCAAGTCTCGGATACTATCTCGATGGGCCCTACATGTCCAAGACGCTCGTGTAGTATGTACCGTCTTGTCGAGAGTAAAAGTGGATATCATTGGCTGGGCGTGGGGTATATATGTTGTTTATATTGTTCATGCATGGCGTCAAGGAGCTCAGATTATGTCGGGCATTGGGTATCATCAATTCATATCTATGATTTCTATTATACATTAGGCGCTGGAAACCACAATTCAAGCGTATCAGATCAATCTAGTCGCTGTCATCGTCGCTACCATACGCGACTAAGGGTCCTCCGCCTGTTACCTTTTCTGCTACTTTCACAGTGCTGCTGCTCTGTGTTTGCTGTGCATAGTTTTTCAGTGCTGCTAGTGTGCTCCCAGACAAAATTCCACCTTTTTCTTCCACTGCTGGCTGTGGTGGAGCTTCGATAAGCCCCGTCTTCTCAACGCCTTCTAGCTCCTCGTAGCCTTGTCGGCCAACGGGGTTTACAGCATCGGAACCTCTGTTATACCAGATCTCTTCTGGCGCTTCGTAGCCCTGTAGTCCGAACCCGCTCTCCATCCTTCTTCTCTTCCTTGCCTCGGGATCTTTGCCCTCCAACTCTGCCACGTATTCCGCCGGTAGAGCCCTCCTGATTGCCTCCGCGGCCTGCTCTTCTATCCTTCTCTTATCACGGGCTTGGGCCAATGGGTTGGGATCAACTGTGGCCCATCTGACGTTCAAGATCTCATTGTGATCGAGGGACTGGTGCGCCATTGCTTCCTTGGCGAATTGAGCGTTTGCTTCGTTGGTATATGTTACGAACGCGACTCCACGAGAGTTCAGTACTCGTACTATTCAATATCATGTTAGTATATAGGTTACCACCGAAATCCACAAAGTGAAAACACGTACTTCTTTCAACCTGCCCCCATTCTGCGAAATGCCTAGCAACAATCTCTTCAATATCATCACTGACGTGTATTCTTCCAATATACAACGTCCGATTCTGCCGCATAAAACTGCCCACACCACCCATATCATCTCGATAGTCAGAGTGCTTATCTCTACCGAATGCATCGATGTTGGGATTGAAGAGATCGTGAATCGTCGGTAATCGATGGAGGTATTCGCATTGGTGACCATGCGGAC